GTGAGGTGGTGCAGGCTCCCACCCTGGGGGTTTTTAAGAGGAGGTTGGATGACCACGTTATTGGGGTCATTTGACCCCAGTGCTCTTCCTGCCATGGCAGGGGGTCGGACTAGATGATCTGCTCAGGTCCCTTCCGACCCTAGAAACCATGAAAAGTCAAGCATTGCAAATTGCCTAAGTCTCTAAAGATCAACAAGTGATTTTGGGTGCCTTCATGTGTTTGCACATTCAGCATGAGAGACCTGGAAGAGGCCAGATGGTACTAGTACTTTCGGGGGGGGGGGGGGGGGGGGAAATCAAGCTAGTTTAGGTTGGGTAATCAAAAAATTGTCAGTCATTTTTGAAAATGATGGCCAAGGTGCCTACAACACCATTAATGGTGCATTAGAGTTTATATATTTTCTTTTCCAGTTTTTCAAGTGGATATATTTGCATTCTCCTTCCTATTGTTAGATGCTTCCAATAAAACTGGAGGATTAAAGGAGTCGATATTTACTGTAATATTAACTGCTCATGCATAAAATATGAGATTTTCCATATCACACTATTTCTGGTTGGATAAAGTGAACTTATGCCTGATAGACTTCCAGAAGGATTTTTATATGTGGTTGGTCAGATATAATTGGTCTAGTTAAAAGTTTGCAAGGAAAAACAAAAACAGCCTGGAAATTAACTTGTTTTCCTACACTTGAAACATTTACACAGACAGTTACAAGAACATGGCCAGTGATCAGCTAAACCACATTCATGCTGTACAAAGAACAGAATTTGTGATTTTAACCTGTGTCCACCCACCATCTGAACATACTGAGTGCCTGCACTAGCTTTCTGTAGAAAAGGGGGCTTATATTATATCTCCACATACCAACCACATGAGGGCAAGTAATCAAATACTCAATCAGATCTAAATCTATCTATTTCTGAGCACTGTTACATATACATTCAAGTTGAAGTTGCAGGTCTCCAAATATGTACAAAATGTTAACTTATTCAAAGCAAGCTGCAACACTATATCCAAAGCATTCACATGACACAGAGTATAGGAGACAGGCAGAGGAAGGGTTGGGTTTAAGGCACTGGACTGTGACTTAAACCCGATTTGGTCTGCCACAGACTCCCTCTGAGACCTAAGGAGAGTCAAAATTTCAAAAGAGAACTCAGTATCTTCAATCAGCCAGCCTCTGATTGATCCAATTCAAGCATGGATTTTTTAAAGATGGCAGCACACAGTGGTTACTTAACCCTTTTCAAAACCTGGTCTCCACTGTATTGGACATCCAGACTTACAATTGTTGGACCTGCTTTACCAGAAGAAATAGGTTCCTAATATCACTGCACTATTTTCATTCTTACCCCATAGTGACCAATGGTGTTTAGCTTTGTTTTCCCATCTTCCAGAATCGGGGAGGACTCATCTATATCTGACAGTTCTTTTTGCTGTGCACCAGACTGAAGTTCTGTAAAACAATCACAACAGACAAGCTATCACACACTAAACCAATCCCCATTCCCTGTATTTTGAATTATATGTTATTTTTGGATTGATGATCCTGATCTGAGTTTTGCTAAGCACCATCTATGTGCTAGTTCCTATGAGTGTGATTTTGTAGGCTCTGGACCATCTTGGGACTGGACCACTTGAAGGTGTATCCCCTTAGGCCAGAGGTGTCAAACATACAGCCTGTGGACTGGATTTGGCCTACAGACCTGGGTCATTCGGCCCTTGATGGGTGGGCGGAAGAACCTTCCTGAGGCTGTATCCAAATGCCTGGGTGTGGGAAGAAGCCCAGTGGCTTGTTCCTAGGATGATAGCCAGGCACCCAGGTGACAGCTGCCCCACTGAAGGTCCATCAGCACCATGCCTCAGCTTGTTCCTAGGGAAACATACAAGTGCCCATGATGCCAAAGCCTCTTGCCACAGGGTCCTGGACCAGAAAGGGGTGTCCATGAGCCCATTCCAGCCCAAGGAGCCAGCCCTGAACTAATCATCTGACCAGTGGACTGACCTTTTCCAGCATCTGGCCCATGAGGCTACCCCTGGCTCAGGCTGTTCAAACTACAAAGCATCTAGTCCAATGGTCTCCAACCCTTTTAAAGTATGAGATCACTTTTTAAATTAAAGTGCAACCCAGGATCTACCGCATGCCACCCTCAAGTCCACCCTCCCCAGCAGGTTGGTCCAAGGAGGTGGGGGAGGGAAAGGTGGGGGTGGTACATGGTAGATCCTGGGTTGCACTTTAATTAAAAAAAGTGATCTCACTGCCCCTGCAGTGAGGAAGGGAGTGGAGCAGAGGCAGGGCCCGGGATGAGTGGGGCCCTGGACAGGCTGGATGGTGGGAGGACTGGAGCCCAGGTGATTCATAGAGCTGTGTGGGGGGCTCTCACTGCTGTGTGCACTCTGGCAGAGGCCTGGGGGGGCATGTGCCCCCCCAATCTGTGGGCACATTTATCCTATGAAAGGTGGTATATTTTTAACAAGCACTAATGTGTTATATCTTAATACAGGTAAGGAAGTTGGAGTTTTCATATGCTAAGAAAGGCAAGGAACTAGGGTTTTCATATGCTAAGTGGTAGATGTAACCCTAGGGGCAAGTTCACAGTTTGACCATTAGTAGATCTGTGATTTTCCCCAAAATTTGTAATGACAGTCTTGGACTAACAGCAAAGCCCGAGGCAGATCTCTTAAACAGTAAGCTTTCCAGAGATGGTAGCAAACAGAGGATAATGAAGATACAGTGCAAGGCACTCACTTACCAAGACCAATTTCATCAAGCTGAAGACCATAAAGGGAACCATTCTTATTTACAAAAGCTTGAAAGATCTTCTCCTTGGCTTGCCCTATAGTATCACAATCCAGAACACTGACTGAGATAGTCTGACAGGTATCTGCATTCTCATTATCTGGGGTTTTTTCAAAGATGATATTCAGTGTCTGAAAGAATACAAAAAGTTATTCCAACTAACCGAAAATTGATATGATGCATTATATAAACCTACAGGCTTCACAGTAATGAACACTGAGAATCAAGTGTTATATATGGGATTTAAGAAGTATACCCTTACATTATTTTATTAACAGTAAAGATTGTTCATTGGAGTTAAATAGTAATCAGCAGACCTACAAAAAATGGGGAGTCAGAAGAAAATATATAACCTACATATGCCAAACAAAAATGTATGTTTGACACCCTGATCTAATGGAAACATGACTGAGGATGTGACTCAATGAGAGAAAAATTATTAAAAGAGGAAGAAACTAAAAATGTCTTTATTTTTTCCTGCTCTCATGGGAAATAGAGAAGTTGGTTATCTCAGACTACTGTGTAGACTGGCCTTTTCTCTTATAATTGAAAATATTAACAATTTTAATAGATGTAGAGTGGTTCTTTCTGTTTTAATATCAACCATGAGTGGAAATTATCATGCTAGGGTGAGGAAAGAGAAGTATCCTATGGAGACACTAATTAACTTCACTGTTTCTGTACAAACACAAGGAGTATTAAAAACAAGAATGCACAACTGCAAACATCAGGATTTAATGAACAATAGGAGGTAATTGAAGTAAATGAGAATGACTAAATCAGGACACTGAGATGTTTAATTACCAGGATAATGAGCCTACTGAAAGGACAGACTGCATGGAACAGGAGCATATGTGGGAATGGTGAGGGTGGACACTATGCCTGAAGAAAGAAGTGAAGACTGGCAGAGATGCTTTGGGTCGTGTTTGATGGGAATAGCTATTAAAAAAATCATAAATTAATATTAAATGACTTGGGGCTGGAAGTGATATTAAAATACAAAAAAACACCTGTCATTGTTAGAGCTGACTACAGTGTAACATTAAAAAGTTTTCCCATAGAAATCTGCATCCATCAGAACTCAGCTGCTTCTCTCCAGAAGGAGCTGAGCCCTGCTACCTAAGTGCAGAAGTCATTGCATTGACTTTAATAGGCTTTGCGTTATGGGCCTGTAGACTACTAGCACTGCATGGATAAGGATGACTGTATCAGATTTTATCTATGGAAAAACTCCTGTTGAATTTGTATATCTGGCCTCTAGTTCATTCTACTCAGAGTAGTGGGACTCCTAGCTAAACTGTCTTTGGTAGTGTTAATTGATTCTCTCGCCACAGTCAATTCCTCTTCCTCTTCCTCTTCCTGGAAATATAATCCAGCTGATTTTGTAACCTTTCAATTTAACTCTTGTTTTTGAAACAACAAAAGCAAAGCTTCTCTCTCCCCTCTGTTGCACCTGTTTTTTCAGCATTTACATTCTCATATTTTTCCATGGAAGGTGCTGTACAACCTCCTCATAAATCAGTCTGCCAGAAATTGAGCCCTCCGTATCTACACTGTCCACCAGAAAAAAGCAACAATTACCATTCTTTATGGTAAACTTCAAGAAGGAGGAAGATATCCAGAAGTGTCTGAACTGCCACAGCACACTACCCTTTCCCTGGGATTACCTTGATTGAATCTAACTTTGTGGTTATTTTAAGTAAGACAAAATAGCTAATAGCTGCTAGGGTGGCTAAGCCAAATCCAACACAAATCAGGAGGAACAAAAAGTTGCTCAACATGGTGGCTGTTCAGTAGTCTATTGTAGGACAGTTTGGTTGTCTCCATTCAGTTCCTTTGGAACAAGGGTCCACCTGTCAAAGCTGTCCAATTGGTACCCGATAGTTACACTCAGCAGAGGTCTAAGACTAAGTGGAGTGAGATGGAATGACTAATTTACATAGAAACCAAGACTTCATATTCTAGTCAAAGCATATTTGCTGTGAGATATGGAGAACTATGCACTGCTGCCTCCCATATTATGTGGACTTTGGTTTCTAGGCCTGTCAGCTGGAAGGCTGACCAGAAAATTCTGGGGACAGGAAACAGTCCTTGCTTCTGCCTAACATCTCTCACTCCCTCCAAACAGCATCTTCAGGCTACTAGAAAACAAGAGTAAGCAATCATCATTCGCAACAATGTAATAATGCAAACCTGGCAGAAGCCTGGCTTATTATGGGCTAAACCCAAAAAATCTGCCATTTCCTTTCTGCTCACTGAACTTTCACCCTTGAGGAAGACAATCCTCATGACATTAAAAAGTTTCACGTTAGTTGAAGAGTAAAAGGAAGCTTTTGAGATGTCAAGAACAACTGGTATGGAGAATCTCAAAATGTGACCACCGGTAGCAGGACAAAGGAACTATTAACACTAAAAACAGAAATAAATGGCAATTAGCACTCCACCTTGCTATCCAAATAACAACAGCCAATTAATGCTCACAACAGCTCTGTAGGGTAGGGAACATTATCCTTCCCTATTTTACCAATCAAGAAATGAGACAGAGCAGAATTATGTCATTTGCCTAAGGACAGTAACTGCAAGAACTGGGATAAGAACTAGAACGTCCTGGCTCCCTGTCCAACAGTTCTGCTTAACATTTATTTTGGATCTATTACTATAAATTAAAAAAAACCAAAACACTTGAGTACCATGGTCACAGTACCATCATTAACAGTACTCAGATACCTGACATTTTCAGAGACTTCTATCCCACAGGTGCCTAAGTTTTCATTTACTGGCATTTGCAAAGCTGCTGAAGAACTGGCACTCATCTCTACAGCTAATGAGCTGCTTGGAGCCAGCCCTAGGTCCAGTACATGGTCCCAACTGGACCCTGCACACCTGGATTGGGCCCAGGGGCCCAAAGGCCTCTCCCTTCCCTCTCCTGGCCCCGTGTAGTGGAATCGAGCTCTGGATCCCAAGCTACCCTCATCTGGCCTCATATGCCTGGATCTGGCCAATTGGCTGGGGATCAAGCACACCTGACTTGCAGGATTCTCAGTGGAAAATAATTTTTAGAAGGACGAAACAAAATTCCAGAGCAGCAGGCTGCCTAGCGGTTATACCCCATTGCCTCACTGAGCAGACACCTACACTTAAGGATCTGGGCTTTTCTAAAATTTAAAAATTCATTCAATTATTAGTAAAACCATCAACTACTTTAAACCGCCAAGCAACAGAGGATCAGCCACAGAAAAGAAAACAACCCATGAATTCTTTCATCCCGCACACAAATAGCAGTGCATTCACGCTTCTTCTTCTCTAGAAGCCTTGGTTAAGAGACTGTACATTGCAGTAAGCCCTGAAGGTTTCCGTAGTCAAGGTACTGCTAAGTAGAGTAGCGAAGGAGACAGAATGGGTTTGAAAGCTGAGAATCCCTCATAAAAATAATCTGCTGGTGGTGTTCAGGCTTGGGAGCTCTACTGATGATAGCTGTGGCAATACTGCATAGGAAGGCAATCTGTTAAATAGGCAGAATTTAAATACCACCCCTAAAATGGGGGTAATAATATTTCTCTCTCTCAGGAATACTGGAAAGTACTCAGATAATAAGCAATATGTAAGCTAAAGTGAACAAGCAAAACTGCAAATGAGCCTCTTTTTCTGCTATAATTCTTTGTAGAAAATCATTTCAGGGTGATGAAACAATATATGACCCAATAAAACACATTTTAAAATCATAAAACACATTTAGCCTGCCTGAATGTAAAATGCCTGACTTTAACAAGCCTTAATCATAAACCAATTAACTTCAGAAGCACCATATTTATACACAGATTGTAAAGGTGGAAAAGTCATTGGTGAGTGCCAGAAAATTCAGAAATGGCTCTTAGGATTGATAAAGACCCTGAAAGTCAGACAACATTAAGCCAAATAGATGCACTGAAACCTTGGAGAAACATGATCAGGCATTTTTCAAAGTGCTTTAGCTTTGTAAGGGAAACTCAAAAAAAGGACAAGTTAATTTACGGAAAGACTCAGGAGGAAATTACAGGCCGTCTAGTGTAACCCTGTAATATCCAGAGTTAAGATTCGTGGACTAGAAATTAGTGGCTAGCAGCAGGAAGTCACAACTCTCTGCATGAAGGATTAAAACAGGTTGCAAGAAAGACTTAAAGACTATTTTAAGAAGAAACAGGCAAATGCTTGGGAGGGAAAGACTTGATTGTGGATTGGCTCAGAAATTGCCTGAGAGACTGGGAAAATAAAGAACATTTTTCACCCTCGTATGAACATAACAATGAGGTCTGAAGACTGAGGACTTTTTTTGGATTTACACTTGCTTCTGAAAATGAACAGCAAGCCGTGAATGAGTATCTAAGTGACATACTATTAAAACAGCAGCAGATGGCAAAAGAGCTGTGATTAAAACAAATTGATGTAAAATAATGTTTTTCCTCTAAGAACATAAAGATCATCTGTGAAATGGAAAGGAGGTACTATATACAGCGCACAGTTTTTCACTCCAGCTCTATATTAAACTATAAAGACTTCTGTATGTTATTTCAACTGTCTCATTTGTAAACCGAAGGCATTTCCATGTACCAGACGGAGAGAAAAAACTGAGACGGAGTGTTGTTCATTAAAAAAGTGTTAAAAAACCTTGAAAACAAAAAGACTTGTGTTAGATGCAAAGAGGTTAGTAGCTGTTAGTCTGAAGTCAGGGAGAAGCTAGAGCAGAGTGGTGGGACCTTAGGGCATCTTTACATGTGCTCCCAGGATGGTGGAGGGGCATTTTAATTACAGCGACTTCAGTAGCCACTCTAATTAAAATGCCCACTGCATCTCGTGTATTCAGTGTCCCACGCTTCAAAAATGGCAGTGAGGACACTTTAACTAAAGCTCGTTCAATGAGATTTAATTGATGCACCCCCACCACCATACTGAAGCACAAGAATGCTGATGCACAAGACACAAAGGCTGCTGGAAGCTGCTGTGATGTGCTGCAATTACAGCACATCAGAGCAGCATCTCTGCATGTCTACAGGCACCTTTAGAGACTAACTGCTTCAGAGAAGCTTTAGTAGGCAGATCTATTTCATCAAATGCTATGAATGGACTCAGTAGTCTCTCCTCCCCCATTCCTTTC